TCAAGGACCCTCGAGAAAGGGAAGGGGGGGGGGGAGAGGCACACAGACACCTAATTGGCAAGTATGATAACGTTCCCTCTCATTGCCAGACTTTATTATATGAGGGTGATTTGTATGCTATGGAGAGGCAAGTTTATAATTTCTCCTATCAACAAGTATGAGCAAGTATTTTGAATGTAGCTTTCAATTCAAACAAAGAGGTTTGCAACACCAACATGAGCAAACGTTACAGCACATTGCTTTCTGCACTGAAAAAAAGCAATATGCTCGTGTTGGTCTAGTTTTTAATTCACTTGCACCTGAAACAACTTGATTTTTACTTAACAATTAGTTGTATAAGTTATATATGCGTGTGTTTGTGTAAAATAATTAAATATTTAAATATAAAATTGTATATATATATATATATATATATATATATATAAATAAATTTAACAAATAATAATAAATTAAATTTAATATGAAATACATACATGGATTTTTAAAAACATAACACATAAATATATATTTTCTAAAATATATTATATAATACCATATACATGTCTTACCTGTAAATGGTGTATTCATTTGGTGGTGCAGAGTTAGGATCACTTCCATTTCTCTTGCCGAAGTTCCCTGTCCACAGTACTGTGTCATTGTAAGTAACAATAGCTGACAATGAGGGCAGACTGACGGGGTTGATGCTATTGCGCAGAAGTGCATCAACCTAGATAAATGACAAGACAATTACATTAGTTAATATGGCAACAACGATTCCGGCGTACATAGAATGTATTTATAGTCAAATGTGATTTGGTTTTGAACGTATATATTTCCAGTACAAACAAGTGTAAGTAAGCCAGACATGAAATATTACAGTGGCAATCAAAAAATTGCTCTGTTTAGCATGCTGACCAGCAGAATCAGCTCAACCAATGGCATGTGTTTTTGAGGTGGAACATTCTGTTGGACCAACCAATGGCCGATGGGCAGAGTATTCAGGAAACCTGTTTGAAAAAAGTCAGTATTTTTGCAATTCCATTTGATGATGATAGTGGCACACAAATTACACATTTCAGTGTAATAATAAAGTCCTTAAATACTGAGAGCGTTTTTTGTTTAAAGTACTTAGTCTATGAGCCAACACTCTTATGATGACAAATGAGTTATATTTCCTAATCATGTTTTTGTTTAAATATTGTGTGAAACTCCTCAAGGATCATTGTGTGGCTCTCTCATATTCATAATTCATACACTGATTACCACATCTGACATTGTAATTTCATTTCATGCAACACATTTTTAAGGTGCTGTCAGGAATGCCTCCAGCAGCAGTAAATTATTTTTTACTGCTGCTTTCAAGAGCAATGAAGGTGTTTTATGCTTGTAATGGTCACAGGTACAGATGGAGGAAAAGCATTTATAAGCTGGTGCACTTGCAGCCAAGGGTTTTGCTCTAATGGCATCTAATGTGCAAGAGGACATTTTGAAATCATGATATAGACTTGAGTTTTCGAATAAGGAGGAAGCAAATTATTAGATTCAACAAAATCATTGAACAAAGAGCACAAAAATACTGATTAAATATGATTTTTGGGCAGTGAAGAGATTCGTTTTCAATCTTTACATGCTTACCTTCTCAAGCGCATCCTTCAAAGGGGGGATGGGGTGTTCAAGAGGTGTGGGCTCCGGGAAGCGAGGGCACATTCTCACAGATTTGGATCTTTCCCCATTACTTTCTTCTTAAGAATGGGCACACAGCCATACACATATATATATAAAAAAGAAGGTGAACGACCCACGATGAAACTCTAAGAGGAGTGTTTAGAGATTTCTGCATAAACATTGAAATTTAGTGAACAGAGCACTGAAAATGGCTGGTACTGATAACCATAAATGCTTAATATCGTCCAGACCGATAATCGGTCGACATACATGTACAAATAATAAGCCCCACTTTAATTTTCATAACAAAATGAACGTCAATAGAGACAAATGTTTGCTTGAATACATTTTGTTATTGTTCTGGTTAAATATATATACATTTCAATGGTTTAAAAAATTGTAAACAACATTTGAGAATAACATAAGCCATCATGTGGGTTAAAAAAAAAAAAAATCTCTGATTAGAGTTAAATTCACTTCGAATGAACTGCACAGGCACCAAATGACCAAAGAAATTATGCAAATCAGGCAATGGACAAAATTGGTGCTTAATGCAAATAGCATGCTGCAATTATCCATCTTGCAGGCCATTTCTGAGTGTCAGGTTGTTGAGGAGGAGAAACACTGGAATGAGAACTGGCTTATTATAGACTGTGTTTGCACTTGCACTTGCACTTGAACAGAATGACAATGACCAGTGTTATTTTATTATTTATATACTCTTATAGTTTTCATGAATATTTTGAATGATCTTTTATTTTCAGTTTATTTTCCTTTTAGTTAAATTTTTAGTAATTTTGTTTTGTGATTTTGTTTTTTATTATTAGTTTTATATTATTTAGGTTTAATTTATTTTTATTTCAGTTTTAGCTTTAACTTACCAATTAGTAATGTTAATGCTTCAATTTAAACTTTCAGATTTTAGTTTCTAGTTTAATTTACCTAATATTTATATTTTATCCATATTTTTTTTAATTAACAAAAATGCTTTAATAGTTTTAGGAATGACAATAACAATACACACTGGACTAGTGATTTACTGCGTTTACATAATGCCTGGTTAAACTTGATTGTGTTTTAGTGAATTCACTTCATCACATAATGGTGTGTGGTCTATAGATTAAGCAGCACAAAACTGCTTCACATATGTAGCTCCACTGCACATTCACCTAGAAAAGAAGCCAGTCTTCCATCTTTAGCATTCTAAGTCAATCCCCACTCTCAGAGACAGCAGATAATAGGATCTACTAATCACACATCGTGTAACCTCTCAGACATGCACGTCTGACACCAAAACAGTCAGATGTTTGTTACAGTTATACATATTTAGTAGGACGTATTTTATAAAACTGAAAGATATTTCTATAAAATATCTTCTTTAAAAGTTTAAAAGTGTGACTTAAGCCTTTCACAAGGAAGGAGTCTTGGAGCTGTTAAAGGTGCATTAACACATGACCTGTGGACAACTCACTCACCTAGAACTAACTTGGGCAGCTGGTACTGCCAAATGAAGCAAGAAGTCATGATGATGGACAGCAGTAAGAAAAACACCAGGCCCAGTTGGGTCCATTTCACCTTCATCTTGCTGGTTTTGGTTAACCCGTCTATGGCAAGTGCTGGCGTCAGCTATCAAAAAGGATAACAACAAAAATAGATTAACAGTAGGAAAACAGATTTTGGGGGTATTTTAGTTCAATATATATACACACTACCATTCAAAAGTTTGGGGTTGGTAAGATTGTTTAAATGTTTTTGAAAGATGTCTCTTGTGCTCACCAAGGCTGCATGTATTTAATCAGAAATACTGTAAAAACAGTAACATTGTGAAATATTATTACAGTATTGCAGTTTTCTATTTTAATATATATTTGAAATGCATTTTAATCCTATAGTTTTCTATTTTAATATATATCTTTAAATGCAAAATTATCCTATGATGCAAAGCTGAATTTTCAGCAGCCATTAGTCCAGTCTTCAGTGTCTCATGATCCTTGAGATTTTTTTTTTAAGGATTCTTTGATGAATAGAAAGTTCAAAAGAACAGCATATATTTGAACCTTTTTTATTTTGGAAATAATGTCAATCTTATTGACCTTAAACCTTTGAATGGTATGTACATCCAAGCATTTTAAAATGCAATTTATTCCTGTGATGGTAAAGCTGAATTTTCAGCAGCCATTACTCCAGCCTTCAGTGTCATGTGATCCTTCAGAAATCATTCAAATATGCTGATTTGTTGTGTAATAAACATTTTTCTTTTAATTGTGAATGTTAAAAACAGTTGTGCTGCTTAATATTGTATGCAAACTGATTCTTTTTTTTTTAAGGATTCTTTGATGAATAGAAAGTTCAAAAGAACAGCATATATTTGAACCTTTTTTATTTTGGAAATAATGTCAATCTTATTGACCTTAAACCTTTGAATGGTATGTACATCCAAGCTGTGTTTAAAAAGAAAGATGCATTTTCCCAATTCAATTAATCAAAATTCCACACATAAAAACAAGAATAAATGAGAAAATGAAGCATATTGTGTCTCTGGGGCTACTCCATTCTTCATGCTGTGAGTCACTCAAAATATAATTAATGACTGCAAGAAAAAAGCCAAACAAAACTGATAAAGTTAGCCAATGAGAACAAATTATGATGTAAAAGCTGCATGTAGTTGCTGACCAAATCTCTTTACAACAAGAATACATAATATAAGGACACTCACCAGATGTAAAGCCTCATTTGTAACATTGTGCCTACATACGGCTCTGTTTCAACTAGCTGTCCCAATCCAAAGTGTGCAGATTCCGTATGGAATTCCTCCTCTTCTAAAGTGGAAAATCCAATTCCATGGTAGTCACATCCTAGGAACCACTGGGCAGACACAGATCTGACTCTTGCCATCACCACACTGACTGTGGCATAATCCTGGCTGCCAGATTCCCTTTGACAATTCAATTTCCTCTCCCACAACAGCGTCTGACCTGACATCATAATCCCAAGATTTAGCCCTCTAAACCCCATCAGAGCAGGGCGGTTTTTTATCTTAATCCCTGCAAATCGATTCACTTGGCTGCTGTTTCACGCTTTTAGCGCATTTGCATCGTTCCCTGCTCCAAACTACTAGACTTCCCACATGGAGAGAATCAAACATGAAATTTCATGAGAATTTTTGTGTGTCTCAAGACATGGCAGACTACATCTTGCAAGAGCATTTAAACTGAATGTCAACAAGGGGACATGCCTGAGGGGACTACAGGAAAGTTTACATAAGGGACACGAAGATATATGTTTATACACATTTTTGAATTTGTCACATATTGTGTACATTTAACACCAGTCACTCAGAGTCATCTTCTGGCAGTTATTCTCCAACATAAATCTTATCAGGCCATTTGCAGGTGGCCACTCATCAAAAAGACCCTGACATGTGACTCTTATAGCAGGCTGTGATTGGACCAACTGACCTGGAGGTACATTGGGATTAACAGAAGCAGCAGGGTTTGACAGCAGGATGAAAGAAACCACCATCACCTATAAATACCCAACTGTGAGATTACTGGAGTGTGAATTTAGCACTGACATCCTCTTCAAAGTGCATAAACTACACATGCACACTCACATGAAAATATAAGCACAGATGGTCATGAACTAAACAACGGTGCATCAAAGGATTAGTACATTGCTTTTGACTCAACAAGAGAAGCCATAATCTAATTGTTTAGTCTTCACTGTTTACTTTTAAGAGAAGGATTTGTGTTTGATTTGGCCATGCACAATTTCTCTGCGGAGTACAATGTGTTTGGGCTATGAAGCTGAAATGTGCATGGAGATTGCCTGGGGCTGGACTCCATCAACAGATGTCTCCCTCAAGACCACCTTGCTCCCCGTCTCTCCCATGTTTTCTCTGCCAAAGCGGAAAATACAAGACAATTCTAGTTCTGTTAAATTACATGGAAACAGAGGCAAGATCCAATTTTGCATTTTTTTTTAAGAATAGGCAAATGAGTTGACAATCATTTGTGTCCTACCCATTAATTTATTTAAAAAACAAAACAAAAAAAAACTGTTCAACCATACAATGTCTTCCATACAACTAACTTCTAAATTAAGTGTGTTGTTATTTTCTGAATTAAAATTCATATTTTTGGGGATCATGAAGTGAAAATCTGTTAATTCCAAGATTATATTTTGGAAGACAAATGTCATGTGGTTCAACAAACATGCAGAAATATGCAGGCATAAAATAAAATAAAATAAAAATTGCAACTCCCAAAAAACATTGGAAACACTTTACTTGAAGCCTTTATGTACAATGCATTATAAAGGGTTATTAAAGGGTATAATGCATTATAATTATTCATAATGTGCATTGTAATACATTATATCTCATCATAAATAATTCTAACTGAATTTAAAATGCATAGTGTAACAATGAATTGATAAGTGTTATAATGTGGTTACAATTATTCATGAGATTGTACAGTACAATGCGTTATAAGGTGCGTTACAAGGCATAACTAATGCATTAAAAATACTTTTATAATGCATTATAAATAAAAGCTTTAAATAAAGTGTTACCAAAACATTTTTGAAAATAACGATTAAATTGTTAACTGTGTTAATTGTCTTGTTTCCAACAGTTTGGAGAACACACATTTACATTCAGCACTTTACTATACTGTAACTAAAACAATTGCTCCTCACACCAGTCTATGTTTTATTCAGCTGAAGGCTTGTCATTTTTTCACCATTCTTTCAGTTATCTGCAGCTGCCACCTGTGAATAAATTCTTCTCTTTTGGGTCTTCTACTGCATTCGACTCTGTTAACTCAGCATAAGAAAGAAATTCAGTACATCTTCTCATCTGTATGTGACTCACACCTTTTAAACCCAGGCAGTCAAACATGACTTCAAGCCCTCTATAGGGCAACAGCACATTACTCTTACGGGCTCTGACCGTCTACTCAGTCTATTGAGCTCAGGGAACAATAGCACATATCTGATGAGCCTTCACATCCTGCGAGTTATATGTAAATGTGAGCAATTAAAACTCAGAAAATGTGTCACACGCAAAGTCCTGAGGGCTTAACATGCCCACCAAAGACCCGTTCTTTTCTCACATTCATATAAATGCAGGGTGAAATCTGGACAAAATCTGTTGCAGTGCAGATGAGTCATTGTCCTGAGAGTGTAGCATTTTGGTCTAGCAAATAAAAAAGCAGCCTACATTTTTCAGTGAAGCACTGCTGTTCACAAGCTGAATCATGCAACGAAACATGCACTGAAGTATTACTTAACATTTAACAGTAAAGGTTCTGTTCTTCAAAAGAACACAGGATGTGCTTCATCAGTACACTTTCAGTTGAAATTCGTCCTTTTCCATTTGAAACCCAATGCTGGTGGCATCAGAATTACACAATTTCATGAATGAATACTGCATATTAAATGAACTCATGTTATTTTAGTCCCTGAGAGTACTAATTATCTCGCTGTAAAGCTCACAAAATGCTTTGCCACTGATGGATGGAAATTTTAATTCAATTATAAGGATGAATTCAATGACACGAAGCTCAACAAAGGGCTTTAATACTATAACATGGCCACAACAGGAGAGGGCAAAATTTAGGATCATTACAAACTTGTTTTGTAAAAACAGACACGCCTGGGAGTGTTTGATGACATGCTATAGCACATTATCCATTTGGAAAACACTTGTATTTATTATAATAAATACAAGTGTTTTCCAAATGGATGCTGCCCTTTGGTAAGACTGCACTGGGTAATGGGAATGCATTTGCATCTCACACTGCACCAGTGTACAATTTTTTAAAAGTATTAAAAGGAACATTATTGACTATATGTTTGGAATAGCACACTAGCATACTACTACTATTGCTACAATATATTAGGGGTTGCACCGACTAATCGACTAGTCGACTAGTCGACTTCAGTGCTCTGCCATGACACTTTAAGCTTGACGTCGACTAATCGCTGGTCCTATAGAGGGCGCAACAGGATAAGAAATCTTTGAAGGACTTCCACATTTACGCTCCGTTTCCAAACAGTTAAAATGACAAATAAATGCATACTC